TCTGGGAGTTGAAGTCCACTCATCTTAAAGTGGCCAAGTTTGGACAACACTGCACTAAAGGCTGGGTGAGATTGTTGGACATGGTTGATCCCGGGGAAGTTTCCTCTCAAGGTGCTGTTAATTAATGGCTTGTCCGATTAAGCTATATTGTTAGGGACCAGTTTGACAGGCAATCATTAGTAAGAGCAATTTTACTAAGATCATTTGCTTGTTCTCCCTTTCTTTAACTTTAAAAGGACAGTCAGCCCTTGTTATTGTTACCATGAAGTTTTGTTTTTAATATGCCGCTGTACGCTGCTGCACATCCTGAAGATTCAGCAGCATACAAATTTAATAAATGAATGAAAATTCGTAGCATCTCTTTCCTTTTAAATGGGGAACAGAGGTTAACCCGCAACTGGAGAATCAGGGGGAGGGGGAGATCTGTGCAGAGTGCCCAAGTCAAATGAAATGAAATAAAAAAGAGGCTTTTTCTATGGCTGCCTCGTTCTTTCAGAACAGGCACTCTTCCCCCAAAGTCCTTATGCCCCCCCATGTGTTTCTGCTCCCCAGAGCACCCAAGGCAGCATCTGGCATTTCTTTCAAGGATTGCTTTTAACACGCGTACATATTTCATCTTTTCTTTTTCACATCATGACTGTTAGGCATCGGTTATGACGACAGTTGCATTTTTCAGAGTTTTTACTTGGATGTTAGCTGCCCAGAGTGTCTGCGGCTGGGCAGGATAGGCAGGGTAGTCCATTAGTGCTCCCAAAGGAACCGATGCATTACTTAATCGCTGATAAACTAATATTTCTCAAGGCATTCACCCTTTCCCTCCAGGCCAGCCTTCCAATTCTGCGACACCTACCCCTGGCTTCTTTGCCCGCTGCCAACCCTAACCCGGTGCCCACAGCACCTCTTGGGCAGTGCCCCTCGGTCGGTCCTGGCTGCGGAGCGGCCCACAGACGCCTTTGCAGCACATGCTCAAGCAACCAACCAGGTTAATGCTAACCATGGTCAGCAAGGTCCCCCCCAGCACCTTTCCACCCTCCAGACGGAGAGCTCCCTGGCTGGGGACGATGGGAATTGAAATCCCAGACGGAGGCAAGGCTGAGCTGGGGTCCTTCACCCCCAGCTGCCACATGGGGCCCAGCCCCTTTCCGCCCCCCCGCCCTGAGTCCTTCA